TCGATACAATGGGATAACTGATCTACGCTCGTATTCATCTTGACATCGTCCATCGGTGACCCTCAGAGTATGCAGTTAGCATAGATGTGTACCATTCAATTTTCTTCCATAAAAAAATATCTATATATCTATATAATTGTTGTCATTTAATTGATGAACATTAAAAGTAAACTAATTAATGTACTTACATGATTGTAATTCCAGATACCAAAGGCCACAAACGCAAGAATTGACATGTCAATGGTGATTAGGTTTTAAAACCAATACTGGGCAAAATCATACCTTTTCTTGAATTACGTTAGTTTGTTGACGATATTGCTTTTACTACAACATCTGTAAAAAAAAAATTAACATAATTTTGTTGTTGGACAGAATCGAACTCATAAACTTTAGTCTTGTAATTATATATTAATTTAATCTAGAAATTGCCTTAACTCATAAGGCATACATAGGTCTAATTAATATGTATAGAATACAGGGAATACAATTTCTAACCACCCTCTGTAATATAATAATAATAGAACAACTGAACTGAAAAGAAAAACTATTGCAAATGACATCCGTGGGTAGACATTTTCCATCTTTGTTGCCACTATAATAAGATTTCGTCACGAACTTCATTTATTTAGCGGATTTCCTATTGCGAATTTATTTTTCTATGATTAAATTTACGGCGGGCTTCAAATCTCAACTCAAAGCATGAAACTAGTTATACAAGAAAAAGTGTAATTTTAAATAATTAATTTATTTTAATCAACAAAAATATGAACTAAAAAGAACGTGATCGTTTCGAAATGATCTGGTTAATTTATTTTATTTTTATTAACAGATTTATATATTTTTTCGTTATGACTGCAAACTACATTATTTTTTAAATATAATTATAATATTTAAACAATAAGCATTTTAGAAAAATACTTTTCAATATACCATCCATTCGGAATACAAATTCAACAAAGAAGATTGGACGTGTATCTTGCCTGTTTTCTGTAAACAAGTGTTATACTAACATTTGTTTAATATAGCAATACTAATAATAATAATACTGAAATTGTTAGTTATATTTGACTAAAAGTAATTTAAATCAGATACTAATGTGGTGCAGTGAATTTCTGATGCACAGCTTAATAACCACGAGAGGTTATGTGTGTGCCCGTGCACCCTAAAGTAATTCGTGATCAATATTTTATGTGAGCATTCCATCTGAATGGCCAACTGCGGTTGCACTGTACCGTTACAGGTGTGTCTCAGTTTTAATCTCCTAATGGCTATCACAAGCTGTACCCATGCCATATAACACGTTTAACTGGAAACGATCGGTCTTAATTCGTATATTGTAAATATATTATCTACTGATGACTATTTGCTAAAATTAAATGCTAAAGTCGGCAGTAAATAATATAGTTCTTATACGTATCATATAATAATGTAATGATTCGGTACATTACAGGAACACGTATATATTAAAATAATACATAAACTACCTACCCGACGAATGGGAACTATATATACATACTGGTGAGGCTGCATATCAATTTAGCCGACTTGCTAAAGAGGAGCTGCTTGCTGGAGACCCGAGGAGACCGAGAAGACCGAGGAGACCGAGGAGAGTGGGGTTTTTTCTAGAACTGAAACGGACGATATGCTTTGTGTATATAAACTTAATTTGCCGTATTTGTTTTCTTTAAGTAATAACAACAAATACGATACATATCGTAAATCCTTAACTCAAAGAAATGCTTTTTACAATTAGCATTTATAGGTATAGTGAGATTAGAAATGCTCTGACTAGATAAAGTGCATTTAGAAATAGTTGCAAAGATTGTCGGTTTAAATCAGCTTCCAATTAAGAAGAAGGATTTGCATTAACAAAGTTTTTTTTTTAATGCAAATCCAAATTTAGTACAAACTAAATTAGTGAATTCATTTAGGACCTATAATAGAATGGATACCATACCATAATCATAGCATCTTAGACCTATTACCATTTCGTATTTATTCAATAAAATCAATCATATCAGCCTAACGAGATTACTTTTTATTTTCACTGGCTTTCGAATAAATTACTTAAAATGTTTATATTAAAAGTGTACTAAGTATGTATAATAAACTGTGAAATAAACATTTCAGTTCTGAACTGTTCAAGAAATTTCTAAATAGTATTAAGTTATGTAAGGAAAAGTTTGCCGTACTCTCAACTAGATTCACTTGGCTAATTGGATTTGCTGGTACTTTGTAGAAAAATAAATTAATTCCTCTCCAATGTTTTCTTTTACATACTAAAAATATACAAAAAATATTTGTAATGCGCCAAATGAATACATATTTATTTTAGCGTCAGTATAGTACTAGCGACGGATAATGTTCGATAGTCTCTAGATATATGTATGTATATCTTTAAATAAGCCTATTATGGATTAACTATAGATATATATATATATATATATAAGTTAATGAAAATACTGTTATTGTTAATAATCACATATATTCTATGAGAGTCATTAGTTATTCTAGTATCTCTATAGATATGTTCGTTCAGTTTATTTTTGCATCAAATGCAACGTGAATTTTATTTGTTGTATTCAAGGGAAGAGGGAGCTAAAACGTTTGTAATTAAAATTGTAAATGCCAAGCCTCCACTACGTTGATTGTCGACCAGTTTTTTTAAAAGCCTACATAATGAAAATAGCATGCACTGGAATGCTCTTTCCTAATTACTCTCCGGCTCCATAGTTATATGATTTATGATTTGTGTCATTCAAGTCATGCGAAATCGACACATATCTGTAGATAATTAATATTGGAATAATGTGGAAATGTAGTTTTATTCATAATGTATTTTACAAAAATAGGAAAGTTTATTAAAAATTTGTGACTATTAAAAGTTTTCAAAACTATTTATAATACAAAGCGGATAAAAGTTCATTCTACGTTTTATAATAATTACGTGTATATCTGAAAATCTACCTATATCATTAATTTCAAATACTAAAGTAACTGAAGCAGCGTGGCTTGCATTCATTTATTTTTTTCCCGTTGGTAACGAAGAATAAATGAGACGAAATCACTTGATTGTAGCAGAATCATCCTCTTATCATATTCTCAATAAATTGAATTCAGCTTTACGAGTACTTCGTCGGAAACTCAGGACCATAAAGTTAAGGAGATTACTATTGACTGACTCTTATCATAAGTATTTTCTTTTACGCACTTCAATTTTATTCAAAATATATATATAATAATATAATTTATGATTACGACATGGTATCATATCTTGTTATTGTAATGTTTTGTCGTTAGGTAATAATTATTTTACAATACTAATAACAATTAATTAATCCAGAATAAAATTGTCTATGTAAGTACCATAAAAGTGAAACCGGATTATAATTTCCAAATGCAATTATTTTAATAACGTAATAATATAGCCAATAATGCAATGGTGTACACAATGGTCAAAGGTGTAAGCTGGTCAGCTGGTGAAGTGGTGGTGGGTGAACGATGTCAAGATGTGCATTAAGTCAGGTCAGTTGATATATCGTGGCGAATCACAAACAAATTAACCACGATGGCTTTCAAAGTGGACCGCGTGGAGGTGCAACTGACATGTGTATATTGAATCAGTTATTATGTACTTCCGAGGTGCTTACAAGTTGATAAAAATAAATGTATTCAGGATTAATGTAAATGTAGCGAACTTTTCAGTAAAAGGAAATAATTTACCATTAAAAGTATTTTAGCCGAAGTAATGGTACTAAACTGGGTGGCGATCTGTCATGGCCCACGGCGGATGTCAAAATCCTTTTAAACACCGCTACGCACCTGCTTTCCTCTTCGCACTATATGCCCTGCTATATCTTAATTATATTGATTTATGACGAATACTATTTTACTTAAAAAATAGATCCGCGCCACTTAAAACTAAAATATGTATATTGTACGAGGCTGTGTATTCATACGTGTGGTATTGTACTACAACTTTACTTTTAAGGATTTCGTTCTCATAATTATTGTTAATTATTAATTAAATAGGTACGCTCGTATTACTTTCAACAAAAGTTGTTTTTGCATGTATCCATAGGTATATATATATATATATATATATATATATATATATATATATATATATATATGTATATATATATATATAAAATGTGTTTTGGTCGTAGGTTGCAGATTAGGCAGTGAAATTACAGGATAAAAAGCATAAACGAATGTAAATGTAAATAAACGATGTTTGTAATGTAAATAAACGATGTTTACCTCTTACCAACAGGTGGGGTGTCACCTTTTTTACCATTAAAATTATGTTTTAAAAAGTTAGGGCGATATTACAAAGTGTGGAGGTGTGACACCTTAATATTCCAGAATAGCAATGCATGAGGGGTACGACGGACCTCACGTGAATACGTGACGTTAGAACTACCTAATATTTCTTTCCATTTTTCGAATACATAAATTTTTTAGGTACTTCTTGATTCTAACTATGTCCATAATAAGGAAAAACCATTCTAAACAATAACAAGTACATACATTGCGTTACTCATACTAATAGTCTTGTAACAACGCTCACTATACACCGATTATAACGATTATATAACCGTAGAATAGTGAAGTACACAATAGTTACTTCCAGCTTCCAACTAAAGAGAAATCACCGTTCATCGATTTACTCCTATTTAATAATACTGATGCCATCAAACACGATTCATCGGCCAAAATCTACAAATTACGTACTATGTATAAGTACGTATGTAACATTTGCAGGTCAGTCTCGTTAGGGTCGATGAAAAAACTGCTAGTAGTGCTTATTTAATGTAAATATACAACATATTGTATGAAGTTGTTCCGTGTCGGGCGCGCCGCGTCAAGTCTCCGGCGTCCGACCCCTCAGACCCCTCAGTGCCCTGGAGTTTGCACAGACGTATACACGTGCTGTCAGTGCTATCCGATTTCTTAAGAACCGGGTAACGTTCCATTTAATCTGTAGTTATTCTATGTAAAATGAACACAGAAAAGTTGATAGAATTAGTACGAGAACACAAAATTCTATACGATTTATCAGATCCGTATTATGTAAATTCAAAAAAGAAAAATTTAATATGGTACACCATTGGCAGAGAATTAAATACTGATCGTGAGTTGAAAACATTTTTTACTATTAAAAGTTGTAAAACAAAAAAGTAATTGTAATGGTGTTAATCGAACTTATAATTTTGTATATATTTTATAAAAATCGATTGAGCTATTCGTAATTTTCGCCTTGATCCATGTATTGTACGAGTTTCGTAGAATGTAGAGGTCTCTGTTAAACGGTTTTTAAAGTATCTAATTATCAAAGACCTCTATGTTCTATGCAAATATAATGGAAGAGGAGTCAAACCGTTTTTCACGATTCACGTAATTTGAAACTTACTGTCGATAAAATTAGTTTTTAAGGCGTAAAACTGATTATTATATATATTACATGATTTACATATTTCTTCTGCTAATATCTGTATTATATGTTCTTTAATTTTATATTTTTAATACTGAATTAAGATTTGTACAATATATTTTAATTCCAATATCATTATATGAATCTTCTATTTCATTCATATTCATAAGATTTTTTTATATTCCAGCGTCTGCATGTAAATCACGATGGAATAATATACGGGATCAATATCGTAAATCTTTAAAGAGAATAGCAATAAAAAATGACAAGAAGTCTAAAAAACATTACAGATATCACGAGAAAATGGAATTTCTTCGACCACATTTTAATGAAAGAGAAAATACCTTTAATGACAGACAAGGTGATACAGCGGACACAGTGGACAGTAATTCTCAAAACTCGGAACAATCTTTAATGTCTCTACTGGAAATTAGACCTAATATTGAACAAGCATCAAATTCAGTCCATCTTCCAGAAGAACAAGATCCAAATGTGATATATAACGCGTCTGCGGTCATTACGCCCCGTCTATCTACAGAGCGAGCTTCAGAATTCCGTTCAACACCATCCCCAGGATCTTTTCACTCACCTTTGGAAAATATTCAGTTAACAAACACTACTGCTGTAAACTTGATAGAGTATCTATTAAAAAAGAAACAAGAAGATATAATGCCTCATATTACAGAAGAACATCCCATGGATAAATTTATGCAGTGTATAGCTCCTACTTTAAAAAGTCTGACACCGTATTATCAAAACTTAGCTAAGACAGAAATATTCAACTTTGTGCAAAAATATGAAATGACAATGTTTACACAAAATAAGGAACAATTACAAATGGATGTGGAAAAAAATATTCATGATAGTTGCGTAACTAATACTAGTTCCGTGATAAAAAAAGAGAAGTAAATGGATTACATACAGGGTATAAGAAGGTACCATTAAATAAGGCGTTTTATAATTATTGTTTTTTAATTGTCTACACTTGACAACAACAAAAGATATAGGAAGAGACAATAGAATACAAATGAATTATTTCAATTAATATATACGCAGAAGAAAATCTTTTCTACTCTTACAATTGTGTACCTAAACAGAATTTAAAAAACAAAAATATTTAATAAATGTATTAAAATATTGCTGACAAATATTTTTATTTATTTATTTTTGTGCGTTTGGAATAGCAAACATATTTAGCCTTAACATTTTAGCTACCTGATGGAGAGTGACAACCTTCGGCTATAGACATGAACCTCACGTTCATGTTAATGTATATAAGCGACGGATACCATTTTCCATTAGGTGAGCTGTCATCTAAGAAGTAACACAAGCGTTAGACACGTACACATGTCTATATTCCATTAATCCCTTATATTATAAGGAAATAAAATATGTGAATAGTGAGTTCAATTAATTTTGATTTGCTTTTTGTTAATTTTTACTTACCTGAAATTGAAAACACGCTTACAGTAGTGTTAGTAACTGCACCATGGACATTATGTCTTGTGACGTTCCTGAATTGCCATTATGGTTCTGAACGCCATCATACATACGCCAAAATACATCGTTCTTTGTTTTATGGATAAGAAACATACAGTTAATAAATATCTTAATGAAACATCTGAGACTGTCTTAAAACTCAGATATACGCGTGGATAGCACCTAACCACTCTCCACTAGGGAAGTGTCTCTGAATGTCTTAAGTTGTCTTATAAGCTATAAGACGGTAAACTGGAGCACGCTCTTTGGACTTAAAGTGTTTCCGAATCGTTTTGCGAGTTGGTTACGAGCCAAAACGTTATTAATTGTCCGTAAAATTTACTGTTTTGTTTATTTTACTTGGCTGCGGGGTAGGTAACAGATTATGTTTAACTTTTGAAGCCGGAGAGCCTGATGTAACGTTGATACACAAATAAATTTAAAGTATGTTCTAAATATAAGAATAGTATTTATCATTAATTTAGTAGTGCACATAAATTAGAGAGTTTTACATATTTATAGATTTTTATAAAATACACGATATAATCTATATACTGTTTAAAAGATATAATATCCCATGTACCTATCAAACAAAAAGCTATTTCTGTCATTTTAATTATACTTCAAATTAGTTAGAACTGTGCAGAAATATTAAATTAAACTACAGCGTGGGTTTGCTGCGATTATCTTAATTCCATGCCAAAAAGTTAAAGAGTTGACCGGTTAAACTATAACAGTTTTATACCTAAAACTCGTAAAGTTTTAAACTATTCTGGCACGAAGCACTAGCTTTAAACTCGGTCAATACTTATTTAACTATACAAAATTAACTTTATAATGCCTAACATATCTACTATTTTCTGTATAATTCATTACAAAATATATGTATAATTTGCTCAATATTATTTATTATTCAATTAAATTTAAAAAAGATATAACAAGATATATGTGAAATTAATTAAAGAAAAAATTATACAAACAAATAATCCTGAATAATACAGCGCCATCTAGTCCCACGGTAAACAGAGCTTGGATACTAGATAAAAAACACTTTCATTTTTTGTATAAATACATAATATACATAGAAAAGACCCAGATTGATACATACTCATGAATACAAAAGTTTGCACCGTGCGCCGAATCGACCCGCGACCACTAGAATCAAAGCGTTGTACGAAACCACTTAGGCCGTTATTATTATTATATCGCTGTCACAGTCCGTCCCGTATGCTTAAATCTTTAAAAGAACGCAACCGATTTTGAAGTACACCCGGGAGAAGCCGGGGCGAGTTGCTAGTATGTGATGAATTATAATCACAATGAATTACTATAGTACATTTGTTTATTAACAACTTACTAAATATTGTCTCTACATGTTATTCCTGAAATCAATATCGATGTACAACGATAATATCTCTTGGCTCCTTAATTCTTCCAATAAATATGGCACCGAAATACCGTAAAATAACAAAAAAAAACAATACAACTAACAGAATATAACAAATATCTAAATTGCGAAAGGTAAGGTTTAATACCTTACCTTTCGCAATTTAGATATTTATTTGGGCTATTACATACAATCAATATCCAACACAATATCTATGTCAAGATACACCAATATATCAAAATATTGTTCTACCATATAAAACACGATAACATTAATATGACAAACGTAAATGTTATTTTTATTATATTATCGACAAGTCAATATAGGTAGATACATCGTAAATGTTACGTCAACGGGAATATCTCAGAGCTTCAGGTTTGCGTGGTACGTAATTCACTTTGATGTAATATTGTGAATAAGCGACATAATATTTCGTTATTCGAGTAATAAAACGTATGTCGCTGTTGAGTGTACTACAGAAAATAATATATTGGATTTAACATTTTACGACGCGAAAATTGGTTTCCTAAGTTAAAGCTTTAATTATAACGCTTCAGTGCCATTAATTACCCTTTTAAATATATCTACCTAAGAAATGAGTAGCTATTTATCTACCTACTGTAATTTTAGTATTTACATATAAATGTACAGTTATTCGGAAATTTAAATATTATATTCGGTATATTTTGGTGTCTAGTGTTGTCTAGTTCTGTATTTACTTATTTCATTTGATTAAAATATTATATATATATTACATAATAGTAAAAAAAGTCGCTGTCGACGTCGGTCTGTTTTCGTTTATTTCTAAACAATAATAAATATTACCTTGTGTTATAGATACAAAACAACTGATATAAATGCTTAGATTTTATTTATAAATATACACAATAGATATAGGAAAACATTTGAACGATATAAACAACTGAATGTTTAGATTTTCTTGATTCTGAAGTCATGAAGACAAATGTTTGCACTGTGCGAGGTATCCAACCCGCGACTATTGGAAGTAAAGCGATGTGCTACGAGAAAACGCTGGACCACGGTGGCCATTAAATGTATGAGTATACAATAATAATGACTAAACTCATTTAATTCTCTGCTGAAAATTCCAGACACATACCTACTATAGAAATACAATACACCAAACAAAGGCTTTTTAATTAACTTAATTATGAGTATAATAAATATTCCGCAATGCCTTTAATTAAAATACTTATGTAATTTTATTTACTAAAATATTTTCAGTTAATAACTGCCTTGAACTTTCATGAATCCGATAAGTAGGCATTAAATAGTAGTAGGTATTAATCCAATTAAGTAGGTATTAAAAAAATAATTATTAATATATTAATTTACACTTCCTACACTTGCACAGATTGGAGTAGCAACTTCTCAACAAGCGGATGTTTTTGTCTCGTATTTCATGTATTTCAGCATTAGCTGCATAGCTTAAATCTTGGGCCAGTGGAAACCTCCTGAACAGATGTCACAATGAGTAGAAGTACTGGAATCGTCTTTGAGTAAACATATCCTGGTAGTATTTAATGCGAATTAGTTTGTGAAATGTCATTTTTTTGATGACGTGTGATACAACCGATATTTAGACTAGATAGTCAATAATTAATTATGTATATACTAGGAGAAGATCCCAGGACCACCAGATTTATTTTTATAAGAATACATACTGGCACTAGTTAGTATACGCTATAGTCGTATGATTACCAGGACTATCCAACGTCAGACATTTCGTTCGTCAGAAAATTAGTAATGACTAGAAGCTTAGACTGTACGCTATATGACGTCATAATTACACTATAAATATTATTTACCCTTAAATATACGTATATATTACTACTACTATTGGGTATTGTTCCTTAAGTCGTCATAATTCATCCTGTAGTCTTTAAATCTCTAACTATTAAGCCCGTCCTCATCTCTAGCCACCATCAATTGCTCCTATATCATTGTACGAACAGTGAGGATGCTTTTGTCACGAGGGACGTCTATTTTCAGTTAATACGAACACAATGCATGGGATTCTAGCTCGATTTATTTGCTACTGTTACTAAGACTCGGGTGTTATCAAGAGAAAAATAGACTTGAAACGTTCTCTAATATATCTAAACTTTAAGGCATTGTAGCGTATTGAAATTGAAGCTAAAAGTTAAATATTATTCCTACTTTGTACGCTAGAAAGAATATTGCACGATAAGAATAAAAATAATATATAAGTTAAGGCTCCTCACTTTTATTCTGTAAAAGTAGAAAGGTTAGAAATACCTAAAATACCAAACTCGGCTCTCCTCTGTGAAGGAATGTAGCATAAAACTGATTTGTACATATATGAGTGAACCTTTTACGTCGAGTAAAAAATGTTTTTATATGAAGTTTTGAACCACTTACCAGCATAATCCTGTTACAAAATGACTGAAATATTTGCAGTAATTTCGAAACATATTTGCTTTTTTGTTCGAGCAAAGGTGCCGTATTTATAATAATGATATCAAATATTCATGGTATGTGAGTGTATTTATATTATTATATTTACCAGTGGCCCGCCCTGGCTTTGCTCATAACTTTGTCAGTTTTATATAATAGCCTTTTTAAAATTGATCAAGTAGTTTATCCATTATAAATATACAAACAATGAAGTTTCTCTTTATAATTTTCATAGAGATATACGAAATATACGTTATTGTACACACAAATAAGTTATCGGGGAGCAGGTGTCTCCTTTGTTCGAAAACTAGTACACTCGTAAATCATTTAACTCAATAATTTACAAATACTTTAAATACATATTCCCTATTAACTTTATACAAGTAAAACACCAAGCAGTTCAGTAAGTGTAGCCATTTAAATAATGATATACAATTCTCAAATGTAATATTTGATTTAATAGGAGTACATATAATAAACACTTGATATAAGAACATAAGGCACGTTTTGACGTAAAGCTTACATTTGTAAGGCAAACAGAAGGCACCCGTTTGTAAACCAAACATTTAGCAATGTTTCGCTGATTTTGCTTGAATTTAGCGCAGCTCCTCTATATTTGTTTTATATTACATGGAGTAAGTAAGAGTCCCATCACACTTGTACTAAGCATGTATAATTAGTCATTTTGAAATTAAATGTGAAAGATTACTATTGTTACTAATAAGTTATTATGTATATATGT